ACAAGCCTACTGAAGCAACTGACCCATTGTCTAAAACTTGATGCCCCCCCTGGCTATGGGCTTGATACAAGCCTACTGAAGCAACTGACCCATTGTCTAAAACTTGATGCTACCCCTGGCTATGGGCTTGATACAAGCCTACTGAAGTAAGTGACCCATTATCCAAAACTTGATGCTACCCCTAGCTATGGGCTTCATACAAACCTACTGAAGTAACTGACCCATTGTCCAAAACTTGATGCTACCTGTTTACTGTTCCCATTTATTTAATTTCTTGGGTACTTGTATCAAATGAGTTAGGTTTACTGTTCCCATCTCTTTAATGGTGTGGGTACTTGTATCAAATGAGTTAGGTTTACTGTTCCCATCTCTTTAATGTCGTGGGTTATCAAGTCAAACAAGATAAGTTTACTTAAACTTTCTAGATTAAAATTTTTCTTGAGTAAACAAGGTTTTGACATAATGTTTTTATCTACTTTCTAGTTTTCTATGTAATGTAATATCTCATTTAGTCCTGTAAATAAAATCTTTTACAGGTTTTATATGTATGTACATACATACAAAAATATAGTTCTTTTTGTTCTAAACAGATCGTTATATAGTTCTATATTTTATTTATTTCCTGAACTCGTTCTACAGGTAAGTAAGCTGGCTCTCTTCACAATGCGGATTGTGATGGTATAGTTTGTATAATAAAAATGTGTGCATTTATTTCTTTTTTGATAAACTTTGCTACACTATAGTGTTCCATGTAAGGAACAATGATACACCAAACCAATGAATAGACACATGTCACACAGACTTCACTTAAATCTCAAACTCCAGTTAAAGAAATAAGCTTGAAAAAATTGGTAAGACATGGGTAGTTATTGTATTTGATATGAGATGCAACTCAAACAAATTTATTATAAGAAGTTAAACTATATAAAGAAGTTCTATCCACGACATCAGAAATACACAATAAGAAGCAAGGAAAGGTAAGAAATTAAACTATATAAAGAAGTTCTATCCATGACATCAGAAATACACAATAAGAAGCAAGGAAAGGTAAGAAGTTAAACTAGATAAAAAAGTTCTTTCCATGACATCAGAAATACACAATAAGAAGCAAGGAAAGGTAAGAAGTTAAACTAGATAAAAAAGTTCTTTCCATGACATCAGAAATACATAATAAGAAGCAAGGAAAGTTAAGAAATTAAACTAGATAAAGAAGTTTTATCCATGACATCAGAAATACACAACAAGAAGTAAGGAAAGTTAAACTAGATAAAGAAGTTCTATCCATGACATCAGAAATACACAATAAGAAGCAAGGAAAGTTAAGAAGTTAAACTAGATAAAGAAGTTCTTTCCATGACATCAGAAATACACAACAAGAAGTAAGGAAAGTTAAACTAGATAAAGAAGTTTTATCCATGACATCAGAAATACACAATAAGAAGCAAGGAAAGTTAAGAAGTTAAACTATATAAAGAAGTTCTATCCATGACATCAGAAATACACAATAAGAAGCAAGGAAAGTTAAGAAGTTAAACTAGATAAAGAAGTTTTATCCATGACATCAGAAATACACAATAAGAAGCAAGGAAAGTTAAGAAGTTAAACTAGATAAAGAAGTTCTATCCACGACATCAGAAATACACAATAAGAAGCAAGGAAAGTTAAGAAGTTAAACTAGATAAAGAAGTTTTATCCATGACATCAGAAATACATAATAAAAAGTAAGGAAAGGTAAGAAGTTAAACTAGATAAAGAAGTTCTATCCATGACATCAGAAATACACAACAAGAAGTAAGGAAAGGAAGTTAAACTAGATAAAGAAGTTCTATCCATGACATCAGAAATACACAATAAGAAGCAAGGAAAGTTAAGAAGTTAAACTAGATAAAGAAGTTTTATCCATGACATCAGAAATACACAATAAGAAGTAAGGAAAGGTAAGAAATTAAACTAGATAAAGAAGTTCTATCCATGACATCAGAAATACACAATAAGAAGTAAGGAAAGTTAAGAAGTTAAACTAGATAAAGAAGTTTTATCTATGACATCAGAAATACACAATAAGAAGCAAGGAAAGTTAAGAAGTTAAACTAGATAAAGAAGTTCTATCCATGACATCAGAAATACACAATAAGAAGTAAGGAAAGTTAAGAAGTTAAACTAGATAAAGAAGTTTTATCTATGACATCAGAAATACACAATAAGAAGTAAGGAAAGTTAAGAAGTTAAACTAGATAAAGAAGTTTTATCTATGACATCAGAAATACACAATAAGAAGCAAGGAAAGTTAAGAAGTTAAACTAGATAAAGAAGTTCTATCCATGACATCAGAAATACACAATAAGAAGCAATGAAAGTTAAGTGTAGAATGGAAAGAAAAATCAGACAAAAGTGGGGAAAAACATACTTCTAAAATACTGGTAAATCATAAAATTTCTTTATATCAAAATTATTAGTGCTTAACACTTACAATAAAAACCAGTGCAGTAGTATTAACAAATATAAAGCCTTATATAAGTTTGCCCCTGAAGAAGAAATGTCCACCTTTTGAAAGTGGTTGGATTATAAGATTTTTTATTATCACGTATCAAAGCTTTATACAAGAGGTTAAAACTAAAATGGTGAAAATGCAGTTTAGTATTGTAACAATCAAACAATATTCAAAAATCTACTTACAACCAGAAGTATCTAATACAGCCAGAATTACTGTTAAAATGAAGACAAGAATGGCCACAATGATGCTTATGGTGATGCGTTTAGTGAGCTTTCCTCCACTAACAAGAAAAAATAAAAATGTACATTTCCAGTTATATGTAAAGATAACAAATAATTTTGTATTGTGTGAAATTTTCTTAATTTTTTCAGAGCAGCAGAAATGTCTTCTTTTTTAACAATACACTTACCCAATATGAAGAAAGAGATTAAGTCCATTAAAGAAAACATTTGGAACTTGAGCTGCTACACCAAGGTAAGACAAAAAATTATCTCGATACTCAGCAGCTCGGGTGTCATTCTGACTGACACTCAACTTCAGGTCTACAAAATACTGAAAGAATAAAATACATTGGATAAGTGAGTACATATACTATTTAAAACCATTTCATTAAAACTACTAACAACTGTAATAATGTTACGCACCAATAACTTTTTCTGTTTTTTTGAATTTCACACAAAGAGCCATCTGTTCTAATATCCTTAATTTAGAAGTGATAGGCTATACGGAAGGTAGATAGTCAACATCAAGACCAACAACTCTTTACCAATGAAAAGTGGGATTGGCCGTCACCTTATAATGCTACCACGGCTGAAAGGGTTAGCATGTTCAGTGATGGGGACTTCGATCCTGCAACCCACAATTTACAAATCAGGCTACCTAATCACCAGGCCAGTGGTAATGTGAAGAGTTATTTTAGTACCATTGGATGAGAAAAGGTTAAGTAAATGTTTTTTCTGTCAAGACGTCAATGAGACTTCTTGCATGAATATTTCTGATAAAACTAGAGTTCTTTGGAATGAAGAATGTGGAGCTAAAAATAAAACTTAATTAATAATATAGGCAATTCAGGATTTACAGAATAATCTATATCATCAACAAAACAACATTCTACACAAGAAAATCAATAATCAGATGTTACAGCAAGTGGTAAAAATTGACTGATGTTTGTTACTCACTGAAAAACTTTTAAAAAGTACAGATAAGGGCAATATTTAAGTTTATTACTTCAATCACCCAAAATTATCACACATTATTCTTTTTTGCAGTTTAATAATACAACACTAGGCTAACAAGAAAAAGGAACTCTATGGTGTTTAGCAACAATGACTCAAACTGTAATAAGTAAAAAACTGAGTTTTTTCCAATTTCTTTTCATCTCTACAATGTTGTGTCTTTAATTTGTGAGTAGGATACAAAGATCAAGCAGGTGTGTGTGGTATGAGTTTGTTTTAGAATTTTTAAGCAAAGCTACACGAGAGATATCTGTGAATAGCCATCCCTAACGAGAGAAAGCAGCTAATTAACAGCACCCAACTGCCAACTCTTGTTTGACTGAATAATGGATTTTGATCACTACTGCATAGCACTCCAATAAATCAAAAGTGCATTTTTGCAGTAATGGAAGGCAAACCATAAACTCTAAGTTTCACTATCTAGGCATGTTAACCACTAGGACAAGTCTAGATAGTTTCAGTTTTTGTTAAACTATTAAAAAAAATTAGTGAATTTACCAAAATTCACTGATGAATCAGTGATCAAATGATTACTTTATGATCAAATGTTTGTACTTAAACACACACACAACTTACATTTCACATTTAAACATTCTGACACAGCATGAGTCTTCTCCTAATTTGTACATAATACATTTATATTAGCAAAAATTTTTACTTTTGACATGCAAATTCAAAACCAATTCTAAGGAACTATAGACAGATGAAAAATCTTTATAATCAAATTCATTCTTTACAAATGGGAGTTCACTCAAGTGGCAACACAGTATTCTGTTATAGCTACTATGAATATAATTATTTTGAAATAAAGTTATAAACACAAGAGAATTAAATCTTAAGGAAAACTTCTGCATCTGGTAATGACTTGAGAATGAATTTCACAAATTAACTTCTGTAAATATTCATGAATCAAAATTTGAAAAAGAAAAAAAAACTTACTGGTTTAGCGGTAATGAACATATTCCATGGCATTAGTGTGCCAACCCCATGTAACATCAGGATTATGTACACTAAATTTAACCTGAAAAATAAACAGGAAACTCAGAAATTAGAAAATTCATTTAAAAAAAAATACCTCCTTTTATTGCTTTTTGTTGTCTTTGGTTTAAAGAGCACAAAAAAAGTCAGAAAAGAGCACCTTATAATAATCAGCAAATGTCGGCACCATTGAACTATAAGTAACAGCCAAAAGCTATTTAGGATAGCAGCTGAGTTTTGAGCTGACTGTCACTTAAACTTTAGTTCAGTTTATAGTTGTTTTATCTAATAATTTAGTTCACTTAACCTTTAGTTCAGTTTATAGTTGTTTTATCTAATAATTTAGTTCACTTAACCTTTAGTTCAGTTTATAGCTGTTTTATCTAATAATTTAGTTCACTTAACCTTTAGTTCAGTTTATAGCTGTTTTATCTAATAATTTAGTTCACTTAACCTTTAGTTCAGTTTATAGCTGTTTTATCTAATAATTTAGTTCACTTAACCTTTAGTTCGGTTTACAGTTGTTTTATCTAATAATTTAGTTCACTTAACCTTTAGTTCAGCTTATAGCTTATATTTCTGGTAGCCTTCAACATCAACTGACATGTCCCGCCTTCCACCAGCTACGGACCGTAATTTGACAGAAGTGAACTCTGATGTGGCAGAGTTTGATTGGCAATTACTGACACACCAGTGTAACATACCTTGAAATTTAAGTTTCTGGGCCGAGTTGTGGAACAAATATTGGGCCTTTTTGAAATAGGAGAATAGGTGAAAACCTTTAGCTTTGTAATCATGGCAACCCATACAAAAATAATGACTGTGCCCAGTGGCCTTAGGCCTTCCCGCTTTGAGCTAACGCTTAATATTATTTATTATTGTCCTTCTAAAAATGGTTCATATCCACTGATAACGATGGACATACAGACACATTTTCATATTTTTGAGAGCTGAATATGATCAATGCTGTGTGGCGGAGGAATGAGCTTTATCGAGTGCCCCTCTAGTTCAAAAGGTATAGCAAGTGCAGATGTGTGATCACTATGCACTAACACAGATGGACACAAGAGCATGCTATGCACAGGGCACAAAGAACCAAACCAGCCAATCACAGTTATCCACATAATTAGATACAAGTTACAGCTCAGTTTGATAAGTTAATGCTACAGAGCATGCATGACCTATATGGTGCAAACAGTATATTTTTAATGTTGTTTATTAACCTCGTTATTCTATTTTAGATGTTAGTTTCAAATGCACTTTATTAATGGTTTACATTTAGGTTAAAGTGGGACTGAGAAAAAATTGGTATCCCAGTAGTATGCATTACGTGTTAAAATTTAGATAGCGTTTTAGTCATATTAGTGATCTTTTATGGATGAGAAACTACCTGAAGTGTTTTTTTATGACATTCTGATCTCTAAGCTGAAGCCATCTTCAGGTACAAAGTGTCCACAACAGTATATATATATATATATACACGTAATTGAAGTGCAGTCTGAATAGAACAACTGTTTGGTTGGGTGTTTCCTGTTCATTAAGTAGTGTGGTACATCCTGGTTAGGACTTCAAGGGATGTAGTTTTCTTGACTACAGGATTCCAGGGGGTTGGTTTTCTGTTTTAATATGAATTGTTTTTCCATGTTTTTCATACTTAGCTGTGTTTAACATTTGTATTTTTGTCCCATTATGATATACATCCAGTGTTGTTGGAATGCTCTGTTATGGAGGATTTTTCAATGCTTATTTAATAAGTGGGTGTGTGCGTGTTTGCAGGTTCATGCTGCACTGGGGTACCTGGGTGGATTTCCACAACATATGTTAAAGAGTTTCACCCCCAGACTCTTTCATAACCAACCACGTCATAACCAGATATTTGATGTCTCGCTAAATCAGTCTATTATCTGGAGAACCACACACGAACATGTCAGCAAGTTCCACCCATGGAATATTATACCCACACTTCTTCACTGAATGCAGAAGATGGAACAGAAACTCAAGTTAGAACTTCTTCTGTGTTGTGGAACACGCAGATTCAAAACGTTTAGAATGAGGTCTGAAAACTATTCTTTTGTCTGATAATGGACAATGAATTATTTATGGAGGATTTTGGTGAACTTATTAAGAAACAAAAAGTTACCACAAAGGTACTATACATAACTACCTACTTTTCCTAAAGTGGTATAAAGCCGCTATGGTACAATCATTAAGAACTTCAAAAAGGATAACACTAATAAAGTTGTAATAAAGAAAGCATTCTGACAAAAGCATGCATCATTATTCAAGTTAATATTTCATTTTTCACACCATTGAATTACATCACATTTCGAACAAACATGAAATAATTTAATAAACGCCTTTTAGTTTCAGTGTGAATTAAATCCAACATTAAGGGGGTGAGCAAGTGACCTTTGAGTTGCACCAAGTTTCTGAAATATTTGTTACACAGCTGTGAAATTCTAGTATAAACTTTAAACTGCTGAATAGGTTGAATTAGTAATACACTAAATAACCTGTTTACCTGTCCCTGGGTTCTTTTTCTTCCCTGTAAAGTCCATTTTTAAAGTTCAGTTCATCATTTGTAATATTTCTAGATTCCCAACTTGGAGTGAGCTTAACTGGACCAGGAGCAAGAAGAGTCTCACGCTCCATCATGTCACAATCTGTGAAAAAGTAAGATATTTTTATAACATCATTACTCAATGATGTAACATGATTAGGAATTTGATTAACCAAAACATTTACAATTTATTTTTTTCAATTTTTTAAAAAGAAAGATATGTTAGAGAACATATTATCAAAATACATTTGTCCAGAAACAATGTGAAAATAGAATAATAACTAAAAATACTGTTTTCTATTTATTTACTTAATTTACATGCTAGAGAAGTTTAGTAGTGGTCAAAGCATAAGCTTTCTTCCCTTGTCTGTCAGGGTGCACGTAGTGTTGCGCTGTCTTTAATTCTGAATCATCATCCTCTGGGAAACAACCAGCAAACACTTTTACATTTTTTACTTTTTATTATTAATAAAATATGCTTTTTAAAAATATGAACAACAGAATGATTCCTATATCTATAATGAATAAGCTTTATTACCTATATATATAAAGCACAAAAATCTGTCTGTTTGTCCATTATCTAACTACTCCTATCTCAACCAAACTTTGTGGGATGCAGGAATCTCGAGAGCCAGCACGGGCCCCGGGACAAACATCCTTGCTGGGCCCCCCTTTCTCTCTCTCTTTTAACATTTTCAAGAATTTATTAAAAAGAAGATTCTAAATTAGGACAGCAACGAGCTCATAAACCAGACAAAATCATAGCAGCAGCCGTTTTTACCTCACAGTATAAGCGTAAAAAAGTACCAACAAATATCTATTAAATCTATAAAGTAACAAATACATATTAATTATTACTCAAATTATTATTTCAGTCGTTCTTAATGTATCAAGCGTCTATATGCAAAGAAAAGCCAAAAACTATGGTTTTCATCAATAAATGAAAATATAACCTAAAGATGCTTTGCGGGCTTTACGGCATAACCAGGTTTCATTCGCCCAGGTCCCTGGGCAGTTGCCCCCCCCCCTCCCTGTCAGCGGGCCTGGTGGGATGATAGTTTGGAACAAGGGGCATGTTAATGGGATTTAACAACCCCCCTCCCTATTATTGCTGTTATTGAGCATATTATTTTGGACATAAGTTAATGTTAGATATATAATAATGGCTGGAGACGGCTTAAATGGGTAATGAAAAAAAAACTTTAATACAAGTTTAACATGACAGCAAATGTACAACGTTTCGACAAGGTTTT